CAGCTTGCAATGAGACAACATGAGGATAGGTATATGGCATTTCAATTCTTACATCCTAGCAGAAATCCACCATCTTCATTAATTAGTTTTGTTTCAATATACACACTTCACTAAGCCAGCACAACCCTTAAGCATGACTACAGTTACACCACTAAAAGGCTATGTCAGCCTTTCTACCAGAAAACTTACCTGCCAGAGATTATATTGTTTGAAAAATTCCTCATACTAAGGTATTAATTTTCTACAGTTCAAAACAAATGTACTGTGACTTTCTTTTTGCTTTGCACTAAGAGCATGTTATCTGTTCTTTTCTTCTTTGGCAAAGGAAAATGAGATATTATTGTATATGCTTCATCTGGTCTCCTGCCTTGTGATATTTAGATAAACATAATTTAATGCACCAGAAATATTTAATGTTTTACAAAGAGTTTCTGCTCGCATTTGGTAAAACTTCTTTTGCTAACGTACGTGCAGGATTCTTGTGTAAGAGGAACCAGTTCGGCTTCCCCATGAGCAGCTGTTAATGTAGGCACACATTCAAACACGCAGTTGTCTGAAATAGCAGCGCTCTAGACGTTGAAAGTCAAGAAGGGCCAGCTCAGGTTGCAGGGCTGCATGGCCACCCCTGTGAGATGGTGTAATCACAAGCCAGTGAAATCTTTCTCCTGCTAGGAGGCTTTTACTGGTCACTCCTCGCACTTCTTAGGAGCACTGGGATTGGCCTTTAAGCAGTGATTCATGAAGGCACCACACTGCTCTGCTCCCTTGCTGCTGTCTTGGCTCACTGCATTCATTTCCCTCCTGCCTTCTGCAAACCAGACACACCACACAACAAATCCTGCTCCAAATGTCTCCTCGTTTTTCCTTACCCAGCAGGTAGTTTAAAATCACAAACAGAAAGAACGTGTCACTTGAAGCCACAGTTGTGCCTTGTGCACACTTTGACTTCAGAAGAAATTCTGATGTATTGCTTTTTAGTTACGGCAATTTCCCATTCCCTTGGCAGTAACGAAGAACAATAGTTTTGACTCATCATAGTCATTAGGAAATATTGGTTGCTTAATGCTTAGTTACAGCAATGATTTACAAACTATAAATGCCTACAGCAGAGACACATTTTTCAGGGTTCTGCACGCAGACTGCTTCAGCTGCGACATCAGAGCGTTCACTCTGCTTTGCGTAAGAGCACAGACGACACCAGATCACTGTCAGTCGGAGACTTCTAGTTTTCGTCTCAGATTTCTCTGGCAGTGTGACCCTGGGAGCACTTCACTTCCCGGCAATAAATAGCAATGAACTACCAATCAGGTGCATTTGTTTCCTAATTCTGTGCGTTTAAAACGTCTTCCTCCTTTGAAGCATTTGTAAGAGCAGTACAAAAGATGCCAGGCAATGTAAAATTCAGCTGAAGTACTTAAATATGTTCAACAGGTGTATCATAATGTCCTGTGAGTGCAGGTGCAGAATTACCTCTACTGTAACCAGAAATTAATTTTGTAATATTAATAGAGATTTGAGATTCATGATTCAACAGTATTTCAGCACTGATGAAGTTTACAGAGAACTGCAGGCTATGAAACTGTGCAATGGCATTTGAATTCTTCTAAAAAGCCCCAACACCAGGGTAGAGAAATGTAGTAACAAGTGGCAACAACAATTTCTGTAACATTTGGGATTACATAGGAAATTTTACAAAGTGTATTCCAAGTAACCAGTCTACAAGGATTAATGTTTAAATGTGAGAAAAGAAGATTCTCACATCATTTAAGACTTAATCACCAATTCAAATATGAATTTAACAAAGAGCTGGCTTCAGAAAGTGTGTCAGCTGAGGAAGAAATGAGTTCTGTTAGAAGTGTGTTAGACTTTTGAAAATTCTGAATATGACAACAGACACTATCACCCTTTTTCAGTTTGCAGGAGAGTTTTCACTTGCAATTTGTACTTCCTAGTACTACTTTAAAATGATGCTATGGAATTTCTGAATAAATAACTTAATTTGCATTTCTCTAACGTATTCTGATCAACCACGTTTTGATTAGAAGAAGAGCTCCCTAGCTAACTAGCCCATCTACAATTCACTGGCGAGTTCATAATTTTTACTTAAGATATTAAAGACAGCCGAGGGATGAATTGACTCACAGATCAGCCGCAGACCCGGAAGCTGCCTCTGTCTTCTGTTTCCATACTTTAAAGTGAAACTATGTTCTTTCTCTGATAGGAGTTTGTCATGAGGATACACCTCATCATGAAAATGCCAGATTTCATGCAGTAATGAAGTAACTTGTCTTGTGGGAACGGGCAACAACATCTACCCATGAGAATCACGCAACAGATCATCCTCTTCTGCAAAGCAAACTACCAATATGAGCAAAAAAACCCCAGCCTTGAGGATAAAAAGATACAGTACACAGACAAGTTAGTATGAAGTAAGATGCAGGTGATTTTGCCATGGAATAAATGTGAGCACCGGGACAGCCCACTGTGTGCATCCATTCTACACCTCGTCTACCAAGCCGGTTTATGACACTGAAAAAAATCACTTCATCCCTCCGTGATTGTTTCTCTCTCAATTCCTTATTCCAATTTAGCTCATTAGCCAGAGAACAGCTTGAGACAACGATCTGTCTTGGATTTGAAAAGCATCTAGTAAAATGGAGGCCCTGGATCAAGGTATCTAGTCACCACTGTAATAATAATTAAAAAATATCTTACTGACATACAGACAATCCAGAGTGATCTATGTCATTATGTGAAACAGTGAAACTCCCTGTGACAATAGATTCAGGAGGAAATAGGCTAAAGTCCTCTTTCTGTTCCTGTAAGAAAGAGAGACTGTATTCCCCGAAATCTACAGGAGGTAGATTCATTCTTCAAAATCAACCTTTGAAAAGGAAGCTGTTAATGTTTATAGATACAGCTGTCCTTTCTCAATAGCAGAGGTATATACAGAAGAAACTCCTCATCACGTCCTTTTTTCAAAGAGTAGCAGTCATTTCACAGTGAAGGTCAAATAGTGCTTTGGATTTTCCCAGGTTTTCCAAGTGACATATGTTAATCTGGAACATGATTCTTCCAACTTTTTCAACGCGCAGTTCTGAAACCACTTATGCATACAGCATAAGCAAACCACAGAAAGGCAGGAAAAACTACTTAAGGCTCAAGCTTGGTTTTCTTGGTTATATTTTGTACCTTCTCATAGGTAATTAGGTAATCTTAAACCTTGAGGGGCCTCTAGACACACGTTCAATACTTGAAATCTTAGATAAGAGACAGACAGACAGCAACTCTGATTAACAATACTGAAAATAAATCAGACAAATTTAAAGAAATGGTGCTTTAAAACCTCATTTATACCAAGAGAGTGGTTGCCATTTCTCAGGAAAGGAACCTCTCCACTTCTGAAATGCTCACTATCGATGCAAAACAAATAAATAACCTCAATAAAATGGGCCAGCATCATTACTGCTAACATAATAATAAACCAAAACATATTTACTACACATATTTATTTGTGGCATTTACCCATACTGAAAATACAATTACAAATTATGCAGATAATACATACTGAAGACAACATGATTATTCAGGATATAGAGCATTATTAACAAAAATGTACTTATTCAGAGAAGTAAATGTAATTTAGGTATATTACGAATCTATATTTCTCTGTTCATGAACTGATGTATAATAACTGAAATACTCAGGAGTATGCTCTGGTTTTTTTAATAGACTGCATTGTGGCTGCTAGAAAAGTATTTTTTCATTAACTTCTAACTTAACTTAAAAAATGAGATCCAGCATTATTCAGATGCAACCAAGAATGGAGCCCAGCTCAGTGAAGCCTGTGTCACACATCAAAACAATGAGAAACACCCTCTTCACTCAAACCCATACACAAGAAAAAAAAACAAACATGGTAGTAGGTTATTCCTATATTTACATATTGTAATTTATAATTTTATAAATGTTTGATGTTATTTAGCAATAATTTTGGAATGGCTAATCAAAAAAAAAGAAAAAGATTCATTAAGTTTGCAGAATTCATTTTGTTTGGGATTTTCAAGGCAATGGCAACTGAGAGACCAAGGTGTCTAATCAGCATGGGCGAAGAGAATCTGGTTTCTTTGAAAACCTCCAATTTACTATGCAGTACTTTTCCACTCTTCATAAAAGAGTATATAAGTGATTCATATTTACAAACAAAGGATTTCCCAGCTAAGTACAGAATGGGTCAAGATTTAGCTTCATACAGTGTTCCTAAATATTAACATTTTAAATACTTGTATTCTGCATACTCAGAAAATAATTCATAAGCCTATAAGTGCTGTCTGAAAACAACTGAAATGGAAAACGATCCTAGAAAGGAATTCTATTTAATCAAGTTCTCTCCACAAACATGAAAATAGTACAATTAAATGGTTCAGTCTGATCCTTGTGGGAGGAAGAAAAAGTTATACTTCATGACATATTTTCAAAAAGACAATGGCATCACAGAATTATTATATACAGAGCAGAACACCTAAATCATCGCTTTTTAACCACCCTTACAAAGAAAGCTTTGCTTAGTAACATTTCAACAAATGGGCAAAATTTTCAGCCTAAGGCTGAAACATCTTTACTTCCAAAGCACAACAAACAGCTCTGATCTACAAAATTACTTCAGGCAGGTATTATCAACATTAAATTCATCTGGGGAAGGAACACTATGTTAACCTAATAAATAAAGGAGTGATCTATACATTAAAGATGTATTAAAACTTGCATTATTTCTCCTTCTTATAAACTAGCAGACATGAAACTACGGGGAGGCATTAAAAGAACTATGAAGTTACAGCTTATTACTGTCTTTATATCAGAATGTGCTAATATATTATTCAGATTTCTTGAGGAGGACTTTAAAAAGAATATTGTTCTTTCAACTGAAGCATGCACAAAAAAAATCCAACAATAGATTTACCTCTCTTCATAGGGAAAAGAAAGCAAATTTGGTTCTGTACCAGGAATTTAATATTAATTATGAAACACTGTTTCTAATCATAATATTTTAACAACAGAGGATTATCTTCACATCTTGCTTGCAAGTCAAGATAAGTCAGAGGTAGCTTAGGAATGCTTTAGAATTTAGTGTTTTAATTGAAATGAGTTAACCTCTCTTTCAAAGGGGTTAATAGTAAGTACAAAAGGCAAACAGTATATACAGCTGCCACTGCCTGCACCAAGAGAATAATTTCAAGAAGCTCAAAATAAGATTAGAACAAGGAAAAGAAGCACGGTGGGGTTTGGAGATTTTATTTTTTTTTTCACATTTGCTTCAGTGCACTAGTTCAGGCTGGTTTTCTACAAACGGAAGCACCCCGCTGACGTAGTACGCTATTCCCAGCGAGAGGAGAGCAATGACAATGATGAGGAGCAGCACCCTCCAGAAGCCCAGGTCTTCCACAAACTCTTGCCATGTCGTGCGGAAACTGGAAAGAACTCCTTCACCTTGCTGCAGGTTTGGATTAAGGAGGGAATGGCTTTCCATTGCACTACAAAGGATTAGAGTTAAAAATACATCAGAGCAAAAGAATGCACCTGTAAGTACGACAGTAATCCTGCTAAGAGCGACCCAAACATGCTAAATTAAAAACTAAACCCACCTGCAGATCTATAGCACTGCCTCTGCTAAATCAAGACAAAGCAGATCAGGAAAAGACTCCTAACATTAAAATTAAGTTAGTGGAAAGGATATTTTATTAACCTGTGTAAAAAGAATGTTATTATCTCTACAACTGCACTGAGTTTGCAGGCTTGCCACCTAGAAGCCTTCAAAAGTCAGTCCCCGTAATTCCTACTAAATATGGCTCAGTAAAATCTAATGAAGCATAAGCTAAAACCTCAAGGGGCACAGCTCTTGTTAATAAAACAACAAATTATGACTTTAAAATAAACTCTGATTAATAAAATGGACACTTCAACTAACATAATTTAGATTCTGAACTCTGCAGTGATCTTCACTACTCTCCTGCATGTCTTTGTTACAGAGGCCTCTTCTCTAGCATAAAAATATCACAGAAAACAATAAAGTTGGATAACAAGAAGATTAGAAACTTTCTGATCTTCAAGACAAGTTCACATTCCCGTGTCTTCAGCCATATAGTGTTCAGTAGCTGCTCTGATGTTTTAACATTCCACTACCAATCCACCAGGCCCCCTTAAATTGTCAGACTATAAATTAGGGACTGCAACTCTCACTTTTAAATGAGAAAGAAATATAAAATTAGCACGAAGCAGTCAGTTTGATAATGAATCTTCTTTAGAAAAATCTAAGTTGCTTCAAATACTGCAGGGCTTCCTGTATCATTCTGCCAGTTTTGCTGGTTTCACAGCTGGTTTATAACAGGAAACTTCTTCTGTTGCTGTATGAAAAAACTCACAAAGAATAGGAAATCCTTCTCGCTACTTGATTTCACTTATGTAAAATTTTGGTCACCTGCACAGTCCTACTACCTCTCACTTGAGTGAAATTCCTTACACAGGTGCTCACAGGATCAGGCTCTGAGAAGCATGGAAAGGAAATGGCAAAACCAACTTTGTACACAAGGATGTCAACAGCAGAAGGTAAGCAGAGAAAAAACAATTTTTTTCCTCCCTTCTAATTGCTGTCAGTTACCATGTTCTGAGATATCTCTTATATTAATAGTAAAAAAAAAAAAATTCAGGGAAAAGTAATTTCCACATCAAAATTTATCTTAGAAATGCTATTACTCTTGGTGACAATAAAAAACTGAGAAATGATTGTTACCAGAAAGCAGTCTCATTTATGAATCTCCCTCCTAAGATTACACCACAGAAAAACTTCACACTATTCATATGGTATTTCTTCTTGGGAAGTACAGCCACTGAAGAATAATTAGCCTAAATTCTCATAGCTTGCTAAAGTACTGCAGTGTCACATGCAGAAGATTTCAGAAATTGCCTATTAAACAGCTTGTCTTTTCTGTTTTTCAAATATTTACCTTACTGTAAAGCTGTTTTTGCTTGCTCATAGCTGCAGGATTTAGTCATCTGCCTTGCTTATTACGATTTCCAAAGCAAAACAAAGTTTTTAATATAAGACAGCCATCGGTGTAGAAAAGAGCTACTTGCTCATTAAGTATTAACTAGTTAATACATAACCACAGAGAGGTTCAACAAAGGTGCAATGCCATTTAAGTGCAAAGATCACATGCCTGCTCATTAAAAAGGGTACATAGAAAACACCTTTGTTATTTTATATTACAACCCAATAAAAATCAACGTTATTCACAACACTTTTTCACATTACAAATTACAGCTGCTTAAGAAATGGTGATGCAGCAATGCACCCTGCAGAAGAGTTTGTGCCCCCCAGCCCAGGCAGATTTCCCTCGTGCTCCCAGCGCACCACGGGAGGTCACATTGGGGTGCGCCTGTGGGCACAGCCACAGGTCACGCTGGGCTGTGTGGACGAACGGATTGTCTGTGCTGAAAGACAGACAGACCAGCCGTGCGGATGGACAGAGTGAGCTCTGCCTCCTGACAGCACGGTGCCCTCCTCACTGGGCAAGTGAAAATAAATTTGATGGGGGAACCCAGCTTTGGCCTCTGCTTCCAGAGCAGCAGCAACTCTCTGTCCTAAGTATAAGCAGAAACCGAAAGCAGGGGCTGTTTTTGGAAACAGCAACCGTTGCTTCTCCATAGGTTCATACATAATGTAAGAGAGACGGGGGGGAGAGGACAGAAGACATTCATCTAAGTGTCTCTAAAATGTGAAAATAATACTAAGAGGGAGGAGTGGAGCCGTGGAGGTCTGAAAAGCCAACTGCTACAAAGACATTATTTATTTACAGAGCAAAGAGCACACAAGCTCACTTGCTTTTGCTGCTGTAGGCATCTGTTATTTGTTATTTTAAAAATAATGTATTTCAGACATTTTAAACACGTTCACAAACAAGCTGGGTAGTGCACTGTTTTTGTCTCTGCGCCTCTCTCCACGGAGGGCTGCTGACTTCCTTGCCAAAGCAAACAATACAACATTTATGAACGTCAAAAATCAGAAAGGAAGCTATGTTCATTAAAGGGACACTATCAAAAAAACCCAAACAACAGAATTTAAATAGGGCCAAGCTGTTGGCTTGTATGTTTAAATATAACCAGCATAAATGTACTTCTGTGTGACAAGCAACTTTCAATAAAATTTTATGAAGTTGAAAGGTAATATGCACAAATTCATATAATTTACACCCATGCAATTTTGAGAACAGTATTAAATTTTCTATTTCAGGGCTTAAAATAGTCTCTCTGATGACTGTGGTCACCTGATGTGTAAGAAAGAACTTCCAGTCTGCTCACTGGGAGTATCTGGCGTGATTTCTCTACTTTTGTTGGTTTCACCATTTGTGTTTACTCAACTTAGATAACAACTCCATCTACACAGTTTAACTTCCATTTACAGAACAGGCCGTGTACATTTCGACACAAACTGAACAACTATTAAGTGACAAAACTCCTTGTCTTTTATGGTATAATGTTCCCACAGTCACAGTTCATGATCATTGTTAGACAACACAAAAAATAACAAATTTGAATAAATTCAGTGCAGGAGCAAGTACTCAAAAAATGCTGAGATCTTGTTTCCAACAAAAATTTTAAAAACCAAACCAGTGGTGGAAAGAACTCTTGTACTATTAACCTCAGCCTCACGTTCTGTCATGTTTACTGGAAATTCAATAATTTCTGCAACAGAATTAGCCTTTGACACTTGTGAGGCTTCATCTAAATCTTACAAGAAGGCTATCTTGGAAGCTCATTCTAAAAAAACACTCCTAATTTTCAACTGAAAAACGTATTTGTGGTTTATCGGTATCCTTTGGCTCTTGCACCATCACCACCTATTGTCTTACACAGTTATTTTACATTGTTCAAAATCAGTATTGCTCGTCAGCAATCACAGACACCTCAGCCTTCACTCTGCCAGGCTAAAACGAGCTCTAGCTGCCTCCTTTCGCAAGGAGACGCCTGTTCCCTTGAGCACTCAAGTAACACTTCTTAAAGGATAAATTAACCTTTTCTGAAGGGGCTAACAGCACTGTAAAAAGTACCACGCTGCAGAAGTTGCCCTTACTCTTAACAACAGCAATGACAGCCACTGACAGGAAACACCTCATTGTGTGCGTGGTAGGGCTTCATTGCCTTTTTTCAGGACAGCATCAACTCCTGGAACTTACTAATACATCAAGGCTTTTCTCCTATATCCTCGCTTTCCACTGAGTAACTTCCATTTTACGGCGTTGAGCTTCAGGCAAATGAAGTTGCTTCTTGTGCTACTCCATCACAATTTGTTCCTACTAATTTCCTCTCCCTTGTCATCCCAGTTTTTTGTCTATGCCATACCAATTTTCTCTGGGTTGCCTATATCTCTGTCGTTAGTATGACTAACATGCTACTACTTTCTATGCCAGTTTCCTTTATGAAAATTCTAAGTAAGCACAGTCTCAGAACCGGACCTTTAGGAATTCATTAGTAACTTCTCTCTAACCCATGAAATTGTCAGCAATTTTCCTGAAATCTTCAGTTCTCCTTTTCACGATCTCTTTAGTCACCACGAAATTCTTATTTTATTGTCCACCTTTCCCAGCATTACTACTGATAGAAATTTCATATATGGCACTGTATAAAATCCTTTATTCAAGTTCAGATAGTTCAAAAATCTGCTATCTCTTCTTTGCACAGACATTCCATCTTATCGAAACAATGGCAGGTTAGCCTGTGATACCGGCATTTTCCATTTCTCTCCATTTACCCTTTGGCTTTGAGGTAAGTGCTATAATATTTATTTTTGGGAGTCTGTAAAGGGAAATTAAGTAATTGTTTTTTAAAATTTCCACCAAATTAAAATCTCAATAGAAATAGGGTTTTTTTTCTTACACTTGATCTGTTCAAAGAGATTTTTCCAAAAGTTAAAATTTTATTTTGATTTGGTCTGATAATACCAGGCCAAATTTGATATTGTCTGTTTTGAGGAATAAACAACAAAGTCAATCACAAAAATCTAAAAGCCATAAATATTATTTCTCCCAGTAATTATTTTTGTTTTGTAAATACCTTTCACTTTCAGCAGTCTGCATTGTTTCCAGCTTTGAGTGAGCTCCTCTGTTAAATCCTTTCACCTCTTGCTCCTCTAAAGATTCCAGCAGTCTAATCACATCTTTATTCACACCCCTTCGTTTTGCAAGAACAAGCGGTGTTGCACCTTGGTGATTGCTAAAATAACCCCACAAAAGGACACGAGAAGAAAAGAAACTTTAATACAGGAGTTTTGTAACAAGACAACTCAGCACAACAGACTACAAGTTTGTAAGTTCCCCCAACTATTTTCTGTCATATCAGACAGTAAGAAACTCCAATCTATACAAGTTGTAGCACAATCGGCAACAGAAGTAAATCGGTATATTTAGGTATGAAACTGCACAACTCTCTTTCCTCTGAAAAAAGAATACAATCAAAATTCCTAGGGCTCTTACCAAATTGGAATCTCTGGGTGTTATAACATAAAACAGTAGATTTATGGCAATGCTCAAGGTTAAGAAGAAATTGTGCAATCCAGTTCCTCAAGTTCTTCTTCCATGTGGGTATTAGGGCATGAGGCAAAAATTAAATAAAATACAGATGGTCTCTCTGCTAGTATTAAAATTATACTGAATAGGATCAGAACTACCTTCAGATTAGGGATTTGAACCACAGATGCTTGAAATGAGAAAAAAATCAACAGCCCACAACCCTCCTCCAAAAAAATCTGGTCTGCCAGTAACTAGCTTTGCTGAGTTGAAAACATCAATAAGGGACAGGTGAAACAGGGACAGATTATAAAACTCCAAGGTTTTAAAGTTACTACTGGTTTTTGCATGTGTTGTAAATATGCAGAAAGCTCCACAAACAAAATAATTCAGTTACTGCAATGAAACAGCTAGTTATTTTGCAGCTTGAGAGCTTACATCTGAGCACTGGCATCTGACAGCTGCTGGAAGCCTGAAGGAAAGCATATACAATATTTAAAAGAAGGACTGAGTCACAGGCTTTCAGGGAAGGGGAAAACACTGAAAGGAAACATTGTCACCAAAGGAGTATGGGAATGAACTGACACACACATATACTGTATTTTCTTTGTCTCATACAGTAAAACAATCAAAACAAAAGAACTGTGGTGGACAAAATTCTTTTCAAGTAGTCAGTGTGATTTTTTTCTTTCGTCCCAACCACCCACACCTGGCTGTCTGGCCAAACCAGGATAGCAATGTCATCAGTGAGGCAGAATTAGTTACAGCAGCCCACAACACCAACTGCTATTTTTATTTGCTTTGCTTGTTGCCCAGACTAGCAGAAGCAGCCTTTTACTGTTTTCCTGCCTTCTTATTTCGTGTTTTTAGGAAGTGGTATCTTAAAAAGTTGAATCGCACCAAATAGAGCATTCCTGCAACAGCAGATTTATATGCAAGGCTTTAGTGACAGAAGACTAATATATTATAAAATTTGTGCTGTAAAAAAAAAGGAAAAAAAAAAGTGACTTACCAAATATCAATTTTAAGTCCATTAGAAACTAGGAACTGGATGGTATCCACATGCCCACACAGGTGAAGGGCTGTGTTACCTTGGTAATCAGTGGCTAAGAGGTCAGCACCAAATTTATGCAAGAGTTGACAGATGTCTACATTTCCTCTGGCTGCAGCAAGGTGAAGGCCAGTTCGGCCTCGGCTGTCACGAATATTTGGGTCGAAACCGCTCTCTAAGAGTCGTTTGGAATAGTTAAAATCTCCATCGATGCAAGCCTGCAGCAGCGGCACATTTGTCTGAGAAGAGTCGTTTACAAAAACGTAGGACATGGTTCTGATTCACTCTGGAGGTGACAAACCTGCAAGTAAAAGTGGGAAGAAATAATGGTGAAACCAGGCAAATAAACACAATGCAAATAATCAGTAGACTGCTGAGGTTCTCGAACAAGAATGCAAGCTAGCTCATAAAACAACTCAGGAAGTTTCCTCCAAACATATCTACTTCATGGGCTGCATTCCCTTCTGGTAATATGGAAAGAGCTCCTTTTAGTCCTGCTCACACCACTGGAAACAGAAGCAAAGCTTTGTTATTACAGAAAACTGCAAAGATCAATACCACGAATGCAAGACACGTGAATAGCTTTCACTGAGCAAGAGATCACATGTAGTAGTATTAATATTAAGGGCAGAACTGAAAGGAAGAAGAATAATGTTTCATAAATCAGGAAACTATAAACAATTCACAAGTAGAGTGGTGTTAACTGCAACTCTTACTAGCTATAAGCAAAGCTACTCAAGTGGGATTTCCACCATCTGACTTTGAACTTTGATGCATAAAGTCAAGTCAGTTGCTGAAAATGCCTGATTACTATAAATGCTAATTCCTTCATTCCACAAGAAATACATTTTTTCAATCCTCTTTGCAGAATGCTATTTTTAAAGTACCCCAGATACACAAACTACTCAACGAATAGCAATGTAGACCATGAAAAAACAAGAGTATTATGTGAAACTGCCCACCTGAAAGTGAAAACTGAATGTGGGTACAACGAGGACAACAGTAAAATCAATTATGGAGCTACTGTGGGTTGAACTAGAGCCCCAAGATAGAGAAGCACAAATGTAGCTTCTCTGGCTTAATATTAGAATCATAGAATGGTTTGGGTTGGAAGGAACATTTAAAGGTCACCTAGTCCAACCCCCCTGCAGTGAGCAGGGACATCTTCAAGTAGATCAGGTTGCTCCGGGTGCCGTCCAGCCTGACCTTGAGTGTCTCCAGGGAAGGCGCTTCTCCACCTCTCTGGGCAACCTGTTCCAGTGTTTCACAAGCCTCATTGTAAAAAATTTCTTCCTTATATCTAGTTTAAATCTACCCTCTTTTAGTTTAAGACCATTAACCCTTGTCGCAATGGGCCCTTCTAAAAAGATTGTCCTCATATTTCCTGTAGGGCCCCTTCAGGTACTGGAAGGCTGCTGTAAGGTCTCCCTCTCTCTTCTTGCTGAATAGCTCCAACTCTCTCAGCCTGTCCTCATAGGAGAGGTGCTTCAGCCTTCTGTCTTTGCAGCCCTTCTATGGACCCACTTCAACTGGCCCATGTCTTTCTTGTGCTGAGATTTATATGAAATAAAGGATTAAGTCCTTTTCTGTATCAGGATCTAAAAGATAAAGATAAATGTTTCACCATGGAATTCTTGATACAGAATATTTAAGTTTTGCAGAAGAGTATCTGAAGAATGAGTCAAATAATGAGGGGATAATGAGGCTGTGTGCTTACACAACACAGAAAAGATGACTTAAAAACAAGAAGAAAAGAGAATGACTGTTCGAAAGGTTGGTAAAACACGCATGATGCAATGGTAGGAAGAAATTAAAATATTTAGGATAGTGGGCAGAAAAGCTTTGTACTGCCTCAGAGATGAGGTAAAAAAGAAAAAAAAAGTCATATGAACAAGTAAAAATCCTTAGAAGAAATCTCAATCCAGGCATGACACAGTTTAAATAGCAGGAAGGAAAAGTGATTTTACTTGATAAGCTGAATGGAAACTGAATTGAAACTCCACTTGAAATAGTGTATTTCACTTGCCCAGGGTTTTTATTTTGGGTCATGATGTCGCAGTGTTTAACTATCTGAACCTCTTATTATGACTGCTATAGGCAGATTTAAATTTTCTAGTCTATATAAGGTATCCTTCTACACCAGTGCACTCATTCGGCCGGGAGAATGGAAACATGGCCAGTAGCCAAAGAATTCAATTTAAAACCTCTCTGTTTTTTGAGTGTTTATAATGTCCGTATCTTACAGCTCTTCCCCCGTATTTTAGATCAAATTCAAGATCAAAGTACCCACACAAGTAATTTCAAAATGTTTACACACTGGTCTGATTAACAGCTGTAGCACTTGGGGCTGTTGAGGTTAATAAATTTAAACTTCACTAGGCTGTATTTCCTATCTGGACAAATTCTGCTACATGTATTAACACTGTCTAGTTTCCCAGTGCAGGAAATTTGCCTTCTTGGACGCAAAAGAGAAAGAGATAGGAAGTTACTTCTACATCCTTGTATCTGTATAAGGACTGATTTTAAGCAGAGTGAATTCCCCCAGGCTGCAAGTATGTTTTCAAACACGTGACAGTGTATCACTGGCTCAAGCACCCTTTTACACAATCATCTCCAAGAGCAAAAGACCAGTTCACTGATAAAACATTTCATGCAAGACATGCAACATTTAGGGCACTAACAGCTTCCTTATAACCCTACTCAGAACGAAAGGACAACGTACTTACTTGCATTTCCAGTGAACATGTTACAAAAACCCTAGATGTTGCAAAGCTAGGATTCCCAGATGACAGCAGTTTCAATTTTCTTGCCCATTTCTCACCCAAATCATAAGTGATGTGAGAATTCTTCTTCAGCTCTGCTAGTCCAGTCTTTGTTGACAAAAATACCAGGCCCAATTTCTGTACTATGTTGATTCTGACCTTTACATTCCACACTAAATCTTCCCTAAAGAACGATGATAAATCGCTTTAAAAGCTCCAATTATCAGCCATAGTAACAGCGTATCAACAGCACAAACCCCTACTTGTACCTGATAAAAAGATCGTGGTTCGCTTCTAAAATAATACTTGAGTGTTTAAACCTGTTTTACAAAACAAGGCCTAACATAAATCAACAACAGAATATTACACGGGAAGAGATGTATGCTATTTGAGAAACAGTGTGTCATGCTGTTAAATGTAAACTAATATTTATATTTTCATACCAGACATATATGTCTGGTAAAGCCTTACAGAATTCCCCGTCACTTCGCACACAACTCTGATGAAACATTAGCAAATAAAACCAGATAAAAAAAAACCCTTCACCGCCTTGTATTTTCAGGAAAGAAACCACAAAGATTAGCAGTTATCAGAAAGTGTAACTGGAAGTAATTCTGATTCAGAATCTATCATCACTAGAATCTCTTAGAATTGTTTGCTGAAGCATAGAAGACTAAAGTGAAACCTTAGTATTTCATAGCAAAAAAAGACAAATAACCCAGCAAATCCTTCTTTCCAACACTTGGAAGATTTTGGACTAAGCTAATGCTTTCACTAAAAAAAAATAAAAATCTGGACCATCTGGTTTGATCTATCTTTGTGGTTAAAAAAGATTTTTTCTACAAACACAATTCTATTTCACATATGGCTACCAAACCTGTGCCAGATACAAGCTGCATACAAAGCTGAACTATACACCATCTTCAAAATATCAGTCCCCAAATTATATGTTCTTGCCTCAAATTTAACCCAATTTAGCAAAATTTCCCATCTAACAAAACTCAGGAAAAAATTACAAGTCAACTTAATTGGGTATTTTTGAATAAACAAACTGTGGTTACATTTCAGCCCACAGTATATATCAAAAAGCTTATTGCTTGTAACGAATATCTAATGCAGTGGATTTAGAAAAAAAAAATCGAAAGTACTAACCATTTTCTTTAAAATGCTTCTGAAAGGTGAATCAGACAACAGCTCTGAATCTGTCTAAAAGCTGGTACACCTAACATTAAGCACTGACATCACAGGCACAATTAGGACAAATGGACTTGCATTAATAACAGGAGACAAAAGTACTGCAAAATGAGCATTCTGAATATCCCTATAAATTACTTCTACTGGTGTTAAATAAATCGAATTTGGTTCAGTAAGTGACTGCTTCTAAAAACACATCACTATCTACTGAAACGCTATCTTTTAAATTATACTTTTGGTAAACAAAAATATATTTTTGCTGTTAGTCAATAACTTGGTACTTTGATAGAAAATTAGTTTTGTTTAAAAAAGTAAATTCAAACATCTTTTTCCAAGCAAGGATTTTCCCATTAGAAAGGGAAAATATAAGAACAGATTTTCCCTAAATTTATACAATATGGTATAGTTTGAATACAATGTATTTTTATCAATAATTTTAGATATTATGCTGTAAGCCACTTCTTCTGACACATCTGGGATAGTACAGGGTAAGAAAATCCAACTGAACTGTTCTGTTTTCAAAAGGAATGCTTTTCTCAAGTGATTCTATAAGAATAATTTACTTTTATTGATTAAAGTCAGTTGTCTCTAACTGTACTGTGCACAATAGTAACTCAGTATCACATGCTGATCTGTTGTATAACATGTTCACACCTGCAGGAGCCAGGAGTGATTTTGAATAACTCAAAGCACAGAGCTAGATGCAAGCTCTATGGCTTCTTAAACTAGTCCTAAATTTGCACTAACTGTCACTAGTTTTATTTTATAGTCAATATATGCTGCTGTCTTTGCCTTCTCAGTAACTTCAACAGCTACCAAATAGCTCCAGAAAAAGGAGAGAACACCTATATTGTGAGGGAGGATCACTAATGGGACTGGTCTCTCCACTACAAAAATATTAATGAATCTGATGATTTGTAATTAATCACTCACTCCCTGCTACATAGGATATACCAGCTCTGCAAACCTACAGTACTTCCAAGGACATTCAGAAAAAACAAAGTAATTGTCCCTATCTTAAAACAACATGCCAGGAAAATGGAACAAGTATCAGGCTGTTCAGTACTTGAGATTTCTCAATATTAATACACGCTTTGACACTGAGAACCGAAATACCAGTAGGATGACCACTGGAGAATCTGTCACCACTGAGAAACTGAAACTAAAACAAAACAAAGAAAAAGTTACTCTCGCCACCCTGTGCCAGCAAAACACATGATGTGCATCATTTGTAAAATCCAAATTTACCAACTCCCCCGTGGCAAACAGCTTCCCCTTTCCGCAACACACTTTGAGAGTGGCAATGGCTCAGCAAGGTTTCCTGGCCAAAGGGGATCATTCCCTTAAAA